TGTACACTTTTTGTATTAAACAAAATACATACATGTAATCCTGATTTATTTAACACACCTTGTCACCTTCAGCAACTTCACATATTTTCTCTCCTGTGGCAGGGTTAATTGTTGGAAATGTCTTGCCACTGACAGAGTCCACAAACCTGTTGTTGATAAAAACCTACAATGACAAAGTTTGAGAGTTAGGTGAAACATTTAGGGCCAAATATTTGAACAAAGTCTAACTTGAGCAGCGGTTTAACAAATCTTTGAACCTCCAGATCTCTTCTTTGGTGGGTTGTTTTAAGACAATAAATGCTTTTCTAGTCTTCTCTATATGCTTTTATAGAACTGTTCACAATAAATGATGTTTAGATAAAATGATTGGGCAAATTGAAAATGACACAGAACACGGTTTTGTTAAACATTTGCTAAACAATGTTTAAATATTTGGCCCTTACTGTTCAGGACTAAATTTTTCAGCTTAATTCTGGACTTAATGGCTACATGCTGACAGCCTCGATCTTCATTAGTCATTAAGTGACTAGAAACTGTAACGAGAGTGAGAATTCTGCAGTAAACTGATAAATTGCTTACTGGTATGCTTTGGAAACCCTGGTGAGATTTTTCTGTCAAATGGTAAGCACCCTGCCCATCTCACAGCATGTTCACTTAAGAGAACGTTAGCATTGTTGTCTTGCAGCATTAACAGTGAAAACAAGGCCACTTATAAAAAGAATCAAGTTTCTGTTTTATTTTCAGACTATGTTGCATTTTAAAATTGCTTAAAATTTCAAAAATGAAGGTGTGCATGAATTTCCCTGGAGTAGAATTCTTGGATACCACACTCAAGTTTAGAGGAAGAAGGAAAAATGCATCATGTCCTCTACCATAACATCATGGCATAAGGAAATTTCATGTCATTGTTGTGCAGTGACAGCAAGGAAATGTGCAAAAAGTGTTCTAGCATGGGCAAAATTATTGTTTGGCTTCTAAAACCCTTTGCTTGCAGCCTCATTAACAGGGTATATAAGCTTACCTGGTTGTATTTTACTTCTGGGCTATCATCAATTTGGACCTGCAAAAGGGAAAATTAAGGAATGATTTTCACATTAATGTCTTGCTCTTAATTATATAGTAATCATTATTTAGGAAAGTTAAAGTAGGGCTGTCACTAAAAATGGATTTGAAGTTGCCGGTTATATGCAGTAAGCTATCAAGTACTAGAATAAGGCTGAATTGATCTGCTTGGTTACTCGGTTTCATATTTTCCTTTTGTTTCCTATGAAAGTAGGGAAATCTATTTCCCATAATAGTATTTAACCTACTTCATGGTCATGCTCATAGTATCAGAGGCCCCCTGCCTCTGTGGAACCCAGGGGTTTCAGTTACAATTAAAGTAGCCAGCAGGTGTAAATAGAGTAACTCGGATGCTTGTTGGATCAAGTGGCCAATCTGTGAAAGGTCACACAAGTGTCGAAAAAGGTTTTTTTAAAAAGGTTTGTTTATGGTGGAAAGTGCAGCTAGTTTACAGGCACTTCTACTCAAGTAATTTTAGTCTGTTCCAGGGGTTCGGATACTAGAGCGCAGGCGAAAAATTGACGAGGAAAAAAAAAGCACTTTCCCCAGTCTCCCCTCGTTTTTCCCCACGTTTTCCCGGCGTACGATTTAACTCGCTCGCTTCTCCTATCGTAACCCCGCGCTCTACTATCAGAACGCCTGCTACAGGCTAAAATTATTAGAAAAAATAATCCAAACAGAACATAAAAATCCCCAACCGGCAAAAGGCAACCAGTTGGCTATTTTTACAAAAACGTTGCCGAGAATTTGAACTCGGGACGACCGAGAACAAATCCAGCAAATAGCCATGCAGAGCGGAACTCGAACCCTGGACCGCCAGATTGTGAGTCCATAGCGCTAACCACTCAGCCAGGCTATCTCCTCATTGTCCCAGTAGGGGCATGCTGGTAATGATCAGAGTTCTTTAAGTAAAAAAGGCTCAAAAGAACGGGAAAAATTAACGCACTTAACAATCTACTTACTGATTTTTTTGTCAAAAAAGTTGAGTGTATGCTGCACCCCATGTAACGCATGACAAGGGTGAGAGAAGGTTTTTTTTTTTTTACTGCTGTAGGTTGCTTTATCACAGGAGGAATAATAACAAACTCTGTACGGTTCTGCTTTAACTCGCTGAAAACTCGTTTATTACTTTTGCTCCTTGGCGACTAGGCATCTTAGTTTTCTTAATAAATGTAAAAACAATAATTTGCTTGGCATCCTGGATTTGACAGGTTCAGAGCACTGGGCTCCGATCAGTTTTCTTAAAGCACAGCCTTGCACCTCCACGTCACTGTAACAGCAGAAATTTTGACTTTTATTTTTCAAAAACTTGCCAGAATAAGAAAGAAGACACGAAGTTTCATTGACGTGTGTACATGTAAGAATTTACACAGTCTTATATGCATGGTCTACCTCAGTTGAACCAGTGAAAGCAATTTTGTCAACTTCCATGTGTTCTGCAATTGCCATTCCTGCTGTTGGTCCATAACCAGGTACCAAGTTTACAACACCTGGTGGAAAACCAGCCTGGAAAATACACACAGACACAAAAATAAAATTGCATAACATAATAGAGCGGTTTTCATTTGAGTGTCGAAAAGTAATTGGTTTTGCACTTTCTACACGATGCGATTGGCTTAAAAGATTCGCGCCACCTTTTCATCCAATCAGAAGTAAAACCAAAGCCAATTGTGACGCGCTCGCATGCATTTTCCCGCGCTTTGCGTCAGCCACATGTAATTACTTCGAGTTTTGATTGGTTCAATGTATTGTCTGTGTCCTA